TGGAACTAAGGGGCCAAGCCCAGCTCCTGAAAAACAACCTCACACCATAATCCCCCCTCCACCAAACTTTACACTTGGCACAATGCAGTCAGACAAGTACCGTTCTCCTGGCAACCGCCAAACCCAGACCCGTCCATCAGATTGCCAGATGGAGAAGCGCGATTCGTCACTCCAGAGAACGCGTCTCCACTGCTCTAGAGTCCAGTGGCGGCGTGCTTTACACCACCGCATCCGACGCTTTGCATTGCACTTGGTGATGTATGGCTTGGATGCAGCTGCTCGACCATGGAAACCCATTCCATGAAGCTCTCTGCGCACTGTTCTTGAGCTAATCTGAAGGCCACATGAAGTTTGGAGGTCTGTAGTGATTGACTCTGCAGAAAGTTGGCGACCTCTTCGCACTATGCGCGTCAGCATCCGCTGACCCCGCTCCGTCAGTTTACGTGGCCTACCTCTTCGTGGCTGAGTTGCTGTCGTTCCCAAACACTTCCATTTTCTTATAATACAGCTGACAGTTGACTGTGGAATATTTAGGAGCGAGGAAATTTCACGACTGGATTTGTTGCACAGGTGGCATCCTATCACAGTTCCACGCTGGAATTCACTGAGCTCCTGAGAGCGACCCATTCTTTCACAAATGTTTGTAAAAACAGTCTGCATGCCTAGGTGCTTGAATTTATACACCTGTGGCCATGGAAGTGATTGGAACACCTGATTCCAATAATTTGGATGGGTGAGCAAATACTTTTGGCAATATAGTGTATATATGATATATATGATATATATATATATATCATATATATATATCATATATATATATATGGTATATATATATCATATATATATGATATATATATCATATATATATGATATATATGATATATATATATATATATCATATATATATGATATATATATATATATATCATATATATGATATATATATATATGTTATATATATATGTATATCATATATATATGATATATATATGATATATATATATCATATATGATATATATATATGATATATATATCATATATATGATATATATATGATATATATATATATATCATATATATATATGTTATATATATATGTATATCATATATATATCATATATATATGATATATATATACCATATATATATATCATATATATATGATATATATATATCATATATATATGATATATATACATAATGTTAATGGTACTCACTGTGCAGTTTTTTGTATGTGATGCTAGTACTAAAGTCTGTTTACTCAGCATCTCACCCAGGTTGTGTGCTGGATGAGATACTGCTTTCTTTTTCACTTGTATTGCTAAAATAATGGCTCCATTTTACCCCCCCCCCCCCCCCCCCCCCCCAGTCAGTACAGGTTGGTGGCCTACCGTGTGGTACTCGAGTGGATTCTGAAAGGCGAGAGACTTGGCAAGGACAGCAGAAAAGTTTTACCTGCCTGTATTGTTACAAGCATCCGTTCCAGCTACCCTTCACCAGATGGAGTGTATACTGGTTTCAATGAGGCAGAGGCAGCTTTTGAACAGTTGTAAAGACTATAAACAAATCCTAAGAGACTCTTCCATATTAATTTGTACTACTTCATTATATTTCATATTTTTTCCCAAATCACAAACCTACAGGTGCTGGTCATAAAATTAGAATATCATGAAAAAGTAGATTGATTTCAGTAATTCCATTTAAAAAGTGAAACTTGTATATTATATTCATACATTACATACAAACTCATATATTTCAGATGTTTATTTTGTTTAATTTTGATGATTACAAATGACAACAAATGAAAATCTCAAATTCATCATATCAGAAAATTAGAATATTACTGAAGACCAATAAAAACAAAGGATTTATAGAAATGTTGGCCAACTGAAAAGTATGAACATGAAAAGTATGAGCATGTACAGCACTCAGTATTTAGTTGGGCCTCCTTTGGCCTGTATTACTGCAGCAATGCGGCGTGGCATGGAGTCGATCAGTCTGTGGCACTGCTCAGGTGTTATGATAGCCCAGGTTGCTCTAATAGTGGCTTTTAGCTCTTCTGAATTGTTGGGTCTGGTGTATTGCATCTTCTTCTTCACAATACCCCATAGATCTTCTATGGGGTTAAGGTCAGGAGAGTTTGCTGGCCAATTAAGAACAGGGATACCATGGTCCTTCAACCAGGTACTGGTAGCTTTGGCACTGTGTGCAGGTGCCAAGTCCTGTTGGAAAATGAAATCTGCATCTCCAAAAAGTTGGTCAGCTGCAGGAAGCATGAAGTGTTCTAAAACTTCCTGGTATGTGGCTGCGTTGACCCTGGACCTCAGAAAACACAATGGACCAACACCAGCAGATGACATGGCACCCCAAACCATCACTGACTGTGGAAACTTTACACTGGACTTCAAGCAACGTGGATGAAGTGCCTCTCTTCTTTTCCTCCAGACTCTGGGACCTTGATTTCCAAAGGAAATGCAAAATTTACTTTCATCAGAGAACATGACTTTGGACCACTCACCAGCAGTCCAGTCCTGTTTCTCTTTAGCCCAGGCAAGACGCTTCTGACGCTGTCTGTGGTTCAAGAGTGGCTTGACACAAGGAATGCGACAGCAGAAACCCATGTCTTTCATACGTCTGTGTGTGGTGGTTCTTGAAGCACTCACTCCAGCTGCAGTCCACTCTTTGTGAATCTCCCCCACATTTTTGAATGGGTTTTGTTTCACAATCCTCTCCAGGGTGCGGTTATCTCTCTTGCTTGTACACTTTTTTCGACCACATCTTTTCCTTCCCTTCGCCTCTCTATTAATGTGCTTGGACACTGAGCTCTGTGAACAGCCAGCCTCTTTAGCGATGACCTTTTGTGTCTTGCCCTCCTTGTGCAAGGTGTCGATGGTCGTCTTTTGGACAACTGTCAAGTCAGCAGTCTTCCCCATGATTGTGTAGCCTATAGAACTAGACTGAAAGACCATTTAAAGGCTTTTGCAGGTGGTTTGAGTTAATGAGCTGATTAGAGTGTGGCACCAGGGGCCATCAATTTTGAACCTTTTCACAATATTCTAATTTTCTGATATGATGAATTTGAGATTTTCATTTGTTGTCATTTGTAATCATCAAAATTAAACAAAATAAACATCTGAAATATATGAGTTTGTATGTAATGTATGAATATAATATACAAGTTTCACTTTTTAAATGGAATTACTGAAATCAATCTACTTTTTCATGATATTCTAATTTTATGACCAGCACCTGTATACTGCCTCATTATAGATAACATTTCAGAATTTATGTAGCCGATAACTGTAACCTTTCCTGTACTATTGTGTTGTTTTGGAAATAAACAAAATGACTTTGGATGGTAAGAAAGATGTAACTCTGTTCCTTTGATTAAATATTTATTCTAGACCTAAGTGTGAAATGCAGACAAGCCAACCACAGACACATGCCATTTTATTTAAAAATGTCATGTCATAACTATATTAAGTAAACCCCTTATCAGACTCTGTATCCCAGAATTTTGAAAAAAAAAAGGTTAAAATTACATGCCACCAGCTAGACTTTTTATTTGCATAAGTACAAATATAAAAAGGCAAGAGTAAAAATACTGCACCACTCAGACTAACTGCTGTATCGGGAAGTATGTTTTTGTATGGCTTCCTCTTTGGCAGGTTTTGGTTTCTGAGCAATGTTTTCTGGTATGGGAGGGATATTAACATATGAGTGGGGGTCTTTGATCTTGATGTTGGGGTCCAGGCGTCTCCGCACAACTTGCACCACCAGATTTTGCCGGAATGTTTGTGTTGTTGGAACTTAGATCTTTTTGGCGACCCATTCTTTTGTTTGTTTTGGGTAAACCACATTGAACCGTGCTTGTCCTAAAAAACAAAGAAGAAAATGTAAGACAGAGGAAACATTAATGAAATAACATAGCTATTATAAAGCATTCAAAAAGTTTCGGTTTTAGGTTTCAAAAAAGGAACCAAGAAATTGTATCCAAATAATTAGGAATCTGGTACTTGTAATTTTGTGGTGGTGAGAATTAGGACCATAAAGTACCATATTTGTTATGCAGATCTTAGTGCAGCAGCTCACTAAACAGGTGCGGTTCCCATTGAAGGTTAAATGTAATGTTTGCTGTTTTTTCAATACAGCTCATTTTGAGGACATAAATGAGTATATGACACTGAGCAAAGCGCACAAGGTTAGGTTTTTTTGTTTTGAAGATACTTTCTTGTTACCTGTGTTGGTGTAGGCCTGTTCACGCTGAACATTTTCATTGTGGTCCATAACGGCAAGCTGGGTGCGAGCTTTCATTGTTGAGTAGTGGAAGTGCAGTCTCTTCTCTGTGTATTTCAGCATAGATGCATGGAATACTTCAAGCTTCCCTGAGAAAACATAATAATGACAAGTTCACTAAATATTTAAAATTTTGAATTTCTCATTATTATTGTGCTTTCCTCGTTATATTTACCAGTTTCTCATCCAAGAAACTTATTCCTTTATAAAATAGTCTGGTTGGGGAGTACAAGAAATGTATCCACCAGGTGTATGGTGGCAACGTCACTGAGTTGGCACTAAGCGTTAGACAGGACATGTTGTTCATACAGGTGGATCAAAGAGTTTGGGAAGGATCAAGGGAACCAGGTGTTAGAGACAATATTGCTTTGTTGTTTCGAAAAAAAGAAAGGAGTGTGAGCTTTTTAAAATATTTAATTTACCTTCTGGGATAAATAAAGTATTTTTCATTTAATTTAATTTTGACGACAATGGGGAGCTCAGGGCTCAGAGAGTGTAGGTGATTGGAGATGTACAGTCCAAACAGACTGCACTTCTGCACATGGGTGACGTCAACATAGTCTTGGTGGGTATGAAGTACAAGGTGGGAGCAGGTAATAGAGGAGTGTGGGATCACAATGGGGCTGTGTATAACCTAGGCAGGTGCCAGCGCTTTGGCAAGGGAGGGGTAAATTATGTAAAAGTTTATGTGGCTGTACAAGGGCTATCCAAAGTATATTGTAAAAACATTTTCCTCATTATAGTAATTCCTTTACCATTGTACATTTACAAATTACAATTTGTCAGCTTACCCTTGACAACATGCCAGATGTCAAACTCATGGTGGATTTCCGGATACTCTTCGCGCATAATTTTTCGTATAGATGGTGATCGGTCAGTGGTTACCACCTCCACTTCAAGACCTTGCTCAAGGAGATAATCAAGTCCTCTCCTGAACCCCACTGGCTCCATGGCAGCAGAGCTGGATGCCTCTGTCACCTGTACCACAAAACAAAAAATTAATGTTTAAAATCATTTTCATACATCTTTGATGGGACAGTGCTTGTCATAATCCGATAGCAACAATGATTTTGTAATATGTTCCACATATTACACATACATTTATTTACTTCTTTAATTTCATTCCGCACATGATGAAAATGAGAAACATTACCCAAAAAATGGAAGAAAAACAATATAATAAATGCACCAAAATTGATAATAAATACAATAGATAATAATAATATAAAAAAAAAGATACAATAAAAAAAGAAAACTGAAAATAGATAAATATAGAAATTTAAAAAATAATGTAGGCTACATTTATCAAATTGAAGAACGAAAACGAGTGGGATTAAGTACAAAACCAAATTCAATCCCACCCTTTAAAAAAAAAACATATACATAGATCACAGTCTTCCGCTTCACAATTATTATTTGCCAATTAGAATGACCAAAATCCAAATAAAACTACAAAATATATGCATATGTATCTTTGTGCAGTCAATTTGTAAACACACAATTGACAATTGTTCTCATATTATGTTGTAATATGAAATATGAAATAATAATTTCCCTTACCTGCACTAACTGAAAAAGGATTATTTCCTTTGTTGTGTCCTCCATGAAGCTGTAGGTGTTGTATTTTGCGAAGAAGCCTGGGCTGTAAAGACAAAAAGATAAATAGGCTATCAAATCCAATATTACATCAATTACTCTAACGATGTCATTCATTTCACTTTTTTATTTATTTATTTATGTATTTTAAATCATGGATCACATTAGTATTTCCCTGGGTGCTAAAAGTTGAGTTATTATCATCCAGATTTTTATTTTTTATTAACTCCTAAACACAAACAACTTGCAGGCCATCAATGATCACATTGATTGATCACAAAATTAATATAATGTCACACTGAGCTGTGGAGCGGGTGTTTGTCAATAGGTGGGTTGTACATACATACAGTGTAAAAAAAATCTGTCTGATAACAAAGCAACTAAAGTAACATTCCATGTTCCATAAAGTAAATTCCATGATTGTCCAAATTGATGTGGAAGTTAACATTTTTACTCAAGTAATATTAGCGTGTTTTAACATTTTAACGTTTTTAAAAAAAGTTCCGGTAAAAATACAGATCATATACAAACGTGTAAGTTACATAAATGGTTTATAAAGTACATACCTCTGTCCTTAGTTGTGACACCATCGGCACAGTTGTACTCTTTAATAAAGCTCTTCCTTTACAGGTTCGGAAATCATCCGCTGAAAAGTGTTCACTACAGACACGGAGAGAATCCACGTTAGCTGTCCTTAGATCTTTTCGTAGAGCTATTAGCCACAGTTTTAGCCTTTCAGGGTCCCGAAGAGGTAATTTGTGGAAAGTTACGGAATGGGTTATTCCACACTTGCGCTTCATCTGATTGAAGCATCCAGGATAGGAACACACTCGAACCATCTTCTTAATTTCACGACTAAAATCACTAATCAACAACTTTTTCAAACTCTGAGAGAGACTGACCTCGTGCTCACCTGGCTCAGGGCAGAAAATAAACAGGTGTAAAGCGGAACTTCTTCTTCTACGCTTGCATTATCGGCAGAGCAGACGCTGAATGCGCACTTTCTTCCGGTTTGGTCTGCCGCGGTTTCCGTAGAATCGTGAGCGCGCATGGGGGCGCTATTAGGAAATCCTATACACTACTGTTTTGGCTCTAAAACGTTCTAAATGACTTCGTTTCGAGTAAATTCTGGACGCTACCCACTCAGGACACTTGGATTACATTGGACGAGCAGTATGGAGGAATATTGACACGTTTTTGTGGACTTTTGTGGACCTTTCTATCTCGGGCGCCATAGACCTCCATTATTTGAATGTCAGCAGACAGCAAGAAGCCTCCCAGATCTCCAGATGCATTTGAGATATCAAAAAAGTACTCCAGAGTGTAGTTCAGCATGGGGGTGAGTAGAAAATGAAGGCTAATCATGTTTTGGGTGTACTATTCCTTTAATATAATACAACTCTGTGAATAGTTCCGTCTGAAATGAATGAAAATAGTTGTTTTAATGCTTATTGAGTCAGATATGTGGCGGTAATGTTTGATTTATCTAAAGGTTTTTATCTGTTACTGTGTAAATGAGTTTGGCTGTAATTTAAGGAAAGATTCTAATAGATCTGCAGAGTGGGAACTATAAATCTGATAGTAGTTAAATTTTTTTATTGTTGTTTTGCACAATATGCTTAACTAAGTATTTTTTGTTGTTGAATATTAGAGATTTTGCAGAGATATTTATATACATACATTGTTTAGATTTACTTATGTATTTCTAACCCTTTTATAGTATAGAAAATCCCTTTATTGTCCCACAATGGGCAAATTTACAGCAGCAGAAAGATTATAGAAAATGGTCACACAAATGAGGACCTTAGAAAACTGTATAAGAATAACATAGAGTTAAAATATAAACAATAAAATACTGTAAAGTGTTTTAACAATATAAAACTGGAGAATAAATAACCAATATGCAGCTATGGACATTTTTACAGTAATGGATATTTGAAAATAGCAGCAACATCAGAGATGTGCAGAATGACAGCAGCAGGTTATTTAACTGACTAAGGTTTCTATCATTACATTAGATTTTATTTGTTCCTGCTCCCGGCTGTTGGAATCTTTATTCCACTCTGGATTCTTGTGAGTGTAGTCTTTGTTCGCTTTAACTTTTTTAAATAAATAAACAAACAGTTTTGAAAACCTCGGTATTCATTCTTTTCCTGCTTTGTGTGTCAACTTTCACGGTTGCTAAGCAACAGAGCATACGCCGGTAAAACCCGCCGAAGGGAGGACCTGTTCGAATTTACAGACAAAACTCTTCCGGCCTCCTTATTTTCAAGGACTTCGAAGGATCCAGTCCAGGTAGACCGCGTCCTTGGAGGATGCAGCCCAGGTTTTTTCGAACAGAGCCTCTGATTAAGAACAGGGCTGCCCGCACTGACGCGGCTCAGGGATTACGTCACACGGAGCGTCGTGCGCAGTGAAATCAGGACATTTCCTCACTTTCTAAAAAAAACCCGGGACGCCCGGGACAGGACGTGAAATACGGATATGTCCCGGGAAATACGGACGTTTGGTCACCCTACTCCAATGTGTCTCGACCCGGTCTGAAAGCGGGAAACTCTTTTGTAAATCGTCAGTAAACATACATTTGCACTTTTGCATGTTGTTGGAGAACAGGGCTGCCCGCAGTGACGCGGCTCAGGGATTACTTCACACGCAGCTCCATGTGCAGTGCCCTAGTGCCTGTAAATTTAATGGTCCAATGAATTAAAAAAAAAAAACAGGACATTTCCTCACTTTCTAAAAAAAAAACCGGGACGCCCGGGACAGGACGTGAAATACGGACATGTCCTGGGAAATACGGATGTTTGGTCACCCTAACATATCCTTTTTTCAACCTACAATAGAAAGTCTTCTGTGTTTGTCTTTGCAGACCACGTACAGGATTATGTTTGGAAAGAGGAGGTTTTCTCTGGCCAGCAGCTCCTCCACCAGAAGAGGAAATCCAATTTGGATGAAGAAGAACCAGAGCCTCTGCAAATAAAAGAGGAGCAGCAAGAGCCAGAACATCCCTGGACAAAAAAAGAAACTATGGAGATCCCCATCATTGAGCCTGAAGAGCAGACTGAGGATACAGGAAAGAAACCTTTCCAATGTATGGCATGTGCAAAAAGCTTTCTGAACAAACATAATTTAATGGTTTACATGAGAACTCAGACAGATTGCACGGTTTACGAATCTCTGTCCTGTGAAAAATTTTTACTCAGACATGTAATCTTGATAAACACATCAAAATTCACAGAGTTCAGAAGCCTTTCTCCTGAAGGATTTGTGGCAGAAGTTTTACCAGAAAAAGTAAGTTGAGTGACCACATGAAAGCTCACACTGGTGGGAAGCCGTTTTCCTGTACGATTTGCGGCAGAAGTTTTATTTAAGGAAACAGTTTGACATTTCACAGCAGAAATCACACAGGTGAGAAGCCTTTTGAATGTCTCTATGCGAGAAAAGCTTCACCTTTAAATCTACCCTTGTTACTCACATCAGGGTTCACACAGGTGAGAAACCTTTCGAATGTGTATCCTGTGGAAAAAACTTCAGTCAAAAATGTCATTTTGATGCACACAGCCAACTGGTGAGAAACCGTTCACCTGTATGATTTGTGGAAGAAATTTGGGTGAAAAAAGTAAGTTGACTGGTAGTAAGTAAGTAAGTTTCATAGATAAAAGCATTCTTAATAGACACATAATTCACACAGGCGAGAAGCCTTTTACATGCCTTACTTGTGGAAAAACCTTCACCTTGAAATCATCGCTTAATCTGCATATGAGAATTCACACAGGTAAGAAACCGTTCTCCTGTGCGATTTGAGTTTTACTAGAAAAAGTAATTTGACTAGTCACATGACTAATCATGTAAGAAATATTTTCCATCCATGACAAACATGTTTGATTTTCTTACAATTTCCTGATGGGGAGGTGGTCGTGAGAGGCTGATAGCCCCTCGTTAACCCCTGTACACTACACCAGCGGCCCCCAACCTTTTTTGCACCACGGACCGCTATATGTCAGACAATTTTTTCACGGACCGGGGTGGGGGGCTAAATACGATCCAGTAAATACAAACAGCATAAAAATAAAACAACAAGCCGGGCGTCATCGGAGACAATGACAGACGAAGTGTGCTCCTGATGTCCAGTCTGCTCCGTAGCTTTGTTTTGGTCGCTGTAACTGCAGAAAATCCCACTTAACAAAGATAGGATGTTATAGAACGGATGAGTCTTGAACTGAATTAACCTGTGTCAAGAGGCACAGATGCACCAACTGATGTAATTCAGAATTCATGTGATGTAATTCATCGCTCAGACTTTGATCGTCGATAAATTATATAAACGTTTATATAAACTCTATATAAACGTTTTTTCTGGGCATACCTCAACATTATACTTGTGGTAGTAACATACAAGTACCACAGCCCTGCGCTGCTGGACGACAGGCCCTGACTGCTGCCCGTCTGCGCGAGGAAGAGAACAGACACGCAGCAGAACAGGAGGAGCGCGAGTGATGAGGAGATTAAAGGGAGAGATGAAGAGGAGGAGGAAACTGAGGAGGAGGATTAAACAGAATTGGAGGATTTTTTTTTTCTTTTTTACTTCAAACCAAGCGAACATGGTAACTGTACTTTTTCAATAAATGAACCTAGTGTTTTATAGGTTCAAATAGACACAAAATCTCATTTTTATTCATTCCACTGGTAGTCTGTATTGCTCAAATAGCAATAGAGGCCTGTCTCTAATTCTGGCCTCTTTCCAATAAAGGCCTGGACCGCGATGCACTTGAGTGAAATATATATATATATATATATATAATTTTTTATTTTTTCTGTGCAGTCCGGTACAAAATGACCCACGGACTGGTACCGGTCTGCGGCCCGGTGGTTGGGGACCGCTGCACTACACGACTCATGACGCACCATCAGGCTGAAAGCCGACCCGATCGAAAAATTCTTGCACAACTGGAAAATCGCCCTGAAAAGGGCAACAAATCGCAGGGTGTTAGCCTGGCTTTAGCTAAAACATTGCAAAATATGAATGAAGAAAACCTCTCCAATACCAAAAAGACTAAAAATGCTTGAGTGTGTAGTTATTTTGAAGAAATGAAAAACTAGAGAAACAAACTTTTTTGATAATGCAAGTAAAACTGAAGTTTATTATATAACATATCACATCTTGTTAAAACAAGCCAGAAGGTTCTTTACAAAAAAATGCAAGAAATTATCTAAAGAAAATGCATAAAATCTATGTAACAAAATCTTATCTTTACTTTAAAATGATCAAATTTTATTGTCATGTTTGGTGGAAGTTACCCCCAGATTCCACACACTCCGCCAGCGCCCCGCCCCGCTCAAGTACGTCGTGTGGAGTACTTGTGTGTTATGTTAATCAATCAGTTCCACATCCAACGTTAAGTACTGGTTATACTCCCCACAGCAGTGTGTCGCAGTGAGCTCGACGCAGACTTTTTTGATTAATGCTGAATTCTGAGCGTGGTCTGCGCTTGACGCTGTGGGTCTAGATACGGCCGAGGCGGTGAGGACGTGGGGGCAAGTTTGTCCGACAACGGAGGGATATGACGACGAAAAAAGCGGGGATCCAGGTCGAAAAAG